CTTACATATGTGTACATATACATATACACAATAAGTATCTAAATACGGAACCACTATACATTCGGGCATGGTTCATACCGTACGTAGTGTATGTGATTTAGCGTCGATCCGGTTAAAAGTTATAACTTAATATTCTTTGTTTCGTCTACACAGGGAAAAGATTCAAGTCAGCAGCGCATACGAAATACTTACCATGCCCGTCGAACACTGCCGCCAAAAGCCAGGACACTTTGCCGATCATAAGATCACATATGATAAACCTGTCCTCGTTGGATCGCTTCCTGCCCCTGTATGTGCTGGCACCGGCGTCTCTGGCCAATCGCTTGAACTTGGCTGGAGTTCGCCTAGGCCACGCGGACGTTATTCTGGGGTCATCCAATTGTAATGCGGATGCATGTCTTATCTGTGTGTTGGTTTGTATGTTAGTCAGTATGTTCGCGCCTTTTGATATTGACTTTATGTGGCGTCTCTCGGAGTGTATGGCTGTGTTTCGGTTGAGCCTTAAACTTAACGGGCTTGTGAGAGTGCTGTTATGTCTATTGGTATTGTAGCCGGCTCTAAGTGTTCGCATACACATGGTTCGGTGTCCGCGCAGGCACTGCATAGAAGAGGCCATTCCCAGTAACCGCTTCATAGAAGCAGATAACCTATATATATGTCCGTGTAGTTGTTCCGGCAAGTACTATTTCGATGTCAGATCGGAGTGTATAAACAAACCTTATTTCTCATATACTATAATGAGCTGTTGATACCAAGAGAGAGTGTTCATCTAGAGATGATATCAGTCCACTTGACGAAAAATGTATGTTATCGAACTATCATTTCTGTGCTACTACTACTTGTGACTCCCCGGTGTGAATACATGCATTATTTATATAATTCATATCCGCTGTGTAATAACAATTGCTTTATTTTACTACCACTCGGCTGCACATAAATTTTATTTATTTTTTATTATAATTAAAACGGTGTAGTGTATATTAACTATAAATGTACGGACAATGTACGGACTGTACGCATATCTAAAAATCTGCATCGCTGTGCTGGGTGCCTGGGCCTGGGCCGCCTGAAAGCTCTGGTAGTGGTGGTGTGATGATGATGTGTAAATTCTACGCAGATTCGCAGAATGTCTACAAAAATATTTTCTTCAAATATTTTGTAAATAAACATGTAGAGTTGTAGACTGTAGTATGTACAGTCAGCCTAGGATCAGTCACTAGTCAGTAGTCAATACTATAACTACACAGAATCAAGAGCACAGAGTACAGACTATAGAGTACAGACTCATATATAGTTTAGTGAGTGTAGTACGGTACACTGTATAGTGTATGCTGACCTGAATAGTGCATAGACTTATTTACTCTCGACACTCGACAGTCCCTGCAGTCCTGCACTCTGCAGTCGACAGTTCGACACTCCACTTCAACAAGTCTTCAGACTTCAGTCTCCAGTACTCTTCACACACACACAAGCAAGAGAGAAGAGTCAACACTCAACAGTCAACATTTACGCATGTACCAGAGTCCAGACTACCAGCTTGTACCAGTACTTTGTAGAATACTATTCACTTGTTATTTTTATTTTAAAATACAAGAAGTCTGGCGTTCAGCTCCAAATGTAAATACTACATATTCATCGGCCAAATTGCCCTCCATTTTCGCCATCTGATTGTTTGTAAAATTGAGTATCCAATCATTTATATCCGTTGGCTCCGTTTTCGATGTCCCACAGTCCCAACTCCCAAGTCCCAAGTTCCAACCATAATAGCTCAGCGCCGTCAGCGGCCGAGACTCGAGACTTGAGACTCGGGGCCTCAGGCACACCCTCTCAGGACTCAGGATCGTCAACACTCCTCACTCTCAGAGACTCGGACTCATTCCTCACTCACTCAGGGCCTCACAGCCGGGCTCAGCGGCAGCCTCACAAGTCACAGACACAGTGGGGAGTACACAGTGGTGAGTGGTGAGTGGTTACTACTCAGTGCTCACCAGTAGTCAGTGAGTCACGTCACAGCTTCAGCCTTCAGGCCCTCAGCCCTCACATCCAAACCAGCAACCCCACGGGCCACAGGGCACAGCCGCACAGGGCCGCCACAGGCCCACACTCCACAGACCCCAGGCCCCAGCATCAGGCCACGGACACGGATAGCCCTTGAGTCCCCCTCAGGGCCTCAGGAGACCTAAATAAATAGGAGTCTGGGCCTCTGGGACTGTCCTCTCTGCTACTACTGGTAGAGAAAACCCAGTTTACCAGTGGCACACGACACGTCATATACTCTTTAGTCACTACTCCCATGAGGATTACTGGATTTATTTACAAAGTCAATACCAAACATACCACTTTTACCTAAATATGAACAAACCAAAATTCGCCAAAGATATTCGAATACGAATTTCGGGGAACATTCTAGAAATATTTAAATATATTTTGGGGGGGAATTTTTTGGTCTCAAAAAAACCCCCCATACATAGTTATGTACATAATGATAAATATATACCGATGTACTTGTAGTAGTAAATGACTAATGTACAGTATTTTAGAAGAAGAAAAATACATGTTTGTATGTATTCAGTTTTTTATTGACACAAAAACCGGCCGAGACACTTAAACCTGCCACCACTATGCCAATTGTTAGAGACACCTCCACTATGCCTATCACGTAATTTTACCCTCAATATATTTACCTCTGCCTGTCACCTGATGGCTGATGCTTGCATATTTACTTTCGGCTGTACGACGTCACATTTTTCTTAAAATAATCTGAACGCTTTGACCAATCGCTAATAAGTGTCAGTGGAACTTTCCAGAAATAAATATTGGCTCAGATGTGTGTACTATTATATGTCACAATAATAGCAACGCGTGGTTGTCAAAAATAAAATGCATGACATGGTTCCTGCGTACATATCCAAATATCAAACTATTTATATTTAAGCCTTTGCATAATTCTCCACAAGACTTCAGTGTTGTTTACTTACTTCTACATACGTAGTTAGCTATTTATCTGCTAAGTACTAACCCGAATAATGTTTGGCAGACTCCTGCGCCCTGCCAGGTCGGTACCGATCGTCCTTAGAGTATGTCACATATGTATATAGCTGTGTGTGTTGTGTCACGCGTGTATTGATATCCACATGAATGTGGTTGTATGCGTGTTACGTCATATGTATATCGACGTGTGTGCGCTTCTAAGACTAATGTGTCACTGCATATTTGTGGTGAATAAATACGTTTTGGGCGACCATACCTTTCATGTGCTCACATGATATGATCTTTAAGATATTATATGTATGTTGAATGTCTTCCATCATTTATAAAATTAGTTATTTTTTACTTCTGATAGTTACGCGTATATTTGGAACTGATATATATATATAGATATGTGTGTGTGTGTGTGTGTGTGTATGTATATGTATATATATATATATGTGTGTGTGTGTGTGTGTGTATGTACGTGTGTATAATATATATATATATATATATGGGGAGAGTAGAATGCACGAAGAACTTTTGAGTCCTAGCTATATATCTATGTGACGTGAAGAGAAGTAGTGTGTTGTATCTAGAAACTGTCTTGTACGGGGGCAATTTCCAGAGTTGACGAGACAGTTTTATGTATGTGGAATTCAGAATGAGGTATATAATTAGCATATGCTTCAATCGAAATTCACTATATATATATATATATAAATGTGTGTGTGTGTGTGTGTGTGTGTGTATGTATCTAAATGTGTATGTGTGTGTCTGTTTGTGCGTAGTAGATATACAAATTATAAGCGATACGAGTGAACACAATTGCATATTGTCTGGTGATGATGTTCACTCGTACATGACTTGCATGTAGCTAGCCTACTCGGTTGTTTCCACGTAGATTGAAAGTAAGCAAGTACATGTATGCTCAAATCTGATATTGTTGTTTTTAGTCTGAACAAGTTGATTGCAACATTATAGTATATGAATGAGTACCTTGTGCTTTCTGTTTCAGATCGCAATAGTGATACGCACGTGTTCGTATGCATACTTAGTATTGTGCGCTGTTGTATTCGTAATCTATCTCATTTACATAGTTCTATATACATACTATTATATTAACCTCATTATCTGACCTACTAAACCCATATACCATCTCGCTGTATACGTACAACCCACGCGTGCCTCTATCAGAATGTCGAGCGCTCTTACTCAGTCGCCAGCAGTCTGCGCACCTTCGCACGCGCCAGCGCCAACCGCCCCGAATTGACAAAGCAAACGCCAGGCGTATTCGTACGCTTCAGCTCCAGCTCTAGTTCGTCTAAGGGTGCTGAGTCTGTGGTGACCGGCGAGCCTGTGTCCGGCTTCAACAAGGAGGATGAGGAGGATGGACCGGCTACTGCGGAGGATGTGGCCAGGATCATGCGTGACTTGGGTGAGACGCCTGTAGATGTGACTAAGGATCGGGCGGTATGTTAGCATGCTTTGTATGTATGTATGTCAGGGGTGTGCCGTCGGTTGATACCGTGCACGCTCGCTCGGTATCGCATGTGCTGGTTTACGAGTGTACGCATGTGTTGATATAGTGCTGATGCCCTACAACCCCCCGGACATACAGGCTCAGATGGAGGCTATGGATGACCCGGAGTTCAAGCTTGAGGATGCCGAAGAGATGATCAAGGAGGAGTTGATTGAAGAGACCGAGACCGCCACAGGGCCTGCCGAGAAGCGTGATTTCCAGGCGGAAACTCGCAAGCTGTTGGATATAGTGGCTCACTCGCTGTACTCGGACCGTAAAGTGTTTATCCGTGAGATTGTGTCGAATGCCAGCGATGCGTTGGAGAAGCTACGGTACAAGCAGCTGACCAACAACGACCAGATCAGTGACTCGGACCTGCCGTTGGAAATCAAGATCTCGGTGGATAAGGAGAAGGGTTTGTTTATAATCCAGGTGTGTGAGGTTTTAGTCCTAGTGCATGTTAGTTTATATCGTACCAGGGGTGTGAGGTTTGGTCCTAGTGCATGTTAGTTTGTCTCGTATACTCTTGTTTCACGTACGTACACTCGTGCATGTGTGGATATGAATAGCACGCAGCGTAGCATTGGTGGTTTCCTACAATGTAAATCTGGATTATTCGTAGAAGTGGCGTTCAAGGGTATTCCTTGCCCTGGTGCTCAACTCAGCAATATATTGATGCTTTGTATAGTAAAATGCCAATGTTCAATCAAATCCCACCTGCTTCACTGTACAATCTCGACTCTTGTTGTTTTTGTTGTTGTTTGATCCTCCGGTATTAACTATTCGTGGCAAATCTCATCCCATGTTATCGGGTTTTGGGTCTTGGCGTACAATACTGTTTAGCTCACGATTCCCATATTCTCATCCAGGATACTGGAATTGGAATGACTGAGGCTGAATTGGTCGAGAATCTGGGCACAATCGCGCACTCCGGTTCCAAACAATTCCTGAACGAGCTCACTGACGGTATGCGAAGGACGATGGACTGTGATAGTGTTTGTGGGGGATGGGGGAGACGTTCGTACGGTTTTATACAGCTATCATGTGTGTATGATCCAACAGGAGGTTACCAGACAGTAGGTGTGCATGGTATTGTTCAACTGTCATATGTGTATGATCCAACAGGAGGTTACAAGACAGTAGGTGTGCATAGTATTGTTCTACTGTCCTATGTGTTTGATCCAACAGGAGGATACAAGTCAGTAGGTGTGCATAGTATAATCCTGCAAGGTGTATGTACAGTTTCTCGTGGACAATTTACGCATGTTCAGCCTCTTACCGGCTCTACACGTTTACACAACGGTGTTGGCATCAAGACTGTGTGTAGGGTAAGTGTATCGGTGATCTACACCACACCTTCAGACGCACTCGTTAACACTACTGACACACCCCTCATACAGACCATCAATACATATCTGCACTACTGAGCATTGTAGCATACCACGGCCATCCTAATATATCCTCTTCCGCACTTGTCACACACTCTGCACACAGACAAGGGTGTGTCCAAGGACGGCATCATCGGACAGTTCGGAGTGGGTTTCTACTCCACCTTCATGGTAGGTAACAAAGTTCGCGTGTACACCCGCAGTTCACAACCCGGGCACAAGGGCTATCGTTGGGAGAGTGATGGCAGCGGTTCATACGACATCTCCGAGGCCGAGGGCGTGCAGCGCGGTACCAAGATCATTATTGAGCTTAAAGACGACTCCAAGGAGTTCTCCGAGCTTGGCAAGGTGCGTATAAGTATATATATATATATATACGAGATGTTGTGTGCTATATATGTGTATTATTTTGTACTCGTATGTTTGCGTTGTATGTGTTGGCGTTGAATATTAGGAGGGCAGCAGCAGTTAGTCGCTGAGTCCAGGAGCAGCGCAACGCTATTTAAAAACAAGCTTTGTGAGCCTCGCCAGCATAATGACGCCTTGAACACTCGCATTATATATACATCAATATGTGTGTGTGAGTGTATGAGTATACATTGGAGTTACTTACTTCTGTATGCAAGCGTATATCTCTAACCGAGTTTATTTGCAGATCAGAGTATTTGTAGTAGACATGGGTATGTTCGGCTCGTGCTGCGTGTGCATGTCAGCGACGGGGCGATTCTCGTGCAACGTCAAATGGCTCCTGTTTGTAAGCAAGCAACCACGCATGTGCTGGCGATCCTAATGCACAAGCAATACCACCATACTTGTAAATTTATGTATCTACACATACACACAGGCGTATGCATGTTGTCTCGGTTCTGAAGCATGGCACATCTGTCTGTACCACTCTGCAGGTCCGCACTATTGTTTCAGACATGAGCAACTTCGTTTCGTACCCCGTGAGTATCAATGGGGACCTGGTGAATACGGTCAAGGCCATTTGGACTATGCCCAAGAACGAAGTCACTGAAGAGATGCACGCCGGTTTCTACCGATTCATCTCTGGAGACTACCAGGACTACACATACATGTATCAGGTAGGCAGCTAAGAAAACAGTGGCCAGGATGTGTTGTATACAGTGGGCATGTATACATACGCACACGTATGTAGATCCATAAGAGTGTGCCACTCACTGGAAGATCACAGTTATTTTTTAAACAAAATATATCGATAGAGAATGGCTTTTCTTATGGTGGTCGTGTGCGAATCTTCTGCTCGAATCAAGCACAGTATACTATAGCTGTCTACATTTTTGTTTTTATTTTGTTTTTTTTTATCATATCACGAGCAACGTCGATAGTACTTCTGTGTATGTGCATGATGTGTTTGTCGTGCAAATACAACAACTAACTTGTGCATTCCACTCAAGTGACGGAGGCATCTACATATATATAAACATAGATACATATCCAGCAGCTGGGCACATCATTTACTTACATCATTCACAACACACCGTATTCTTGCAGTTCAACACCGATGTGCCTATCGAGATCAAGTCATTGTTCTACATCCCCAGTTACCACAGCGAGAAGCTGGGCATGGGACAGACCGAGCCAGGAGTATCCCTGTACTGCCGCAAGGTTTGTTTTAACTGTATTTGTAAAGCCCAAATTTTGATATAGGTTTTTATCTTGGGATTTTTGCAATGCTGCATATAGCCTGTGAAGAAGAAGAAATAACATACATATGGGTGGGATTCGAGCAAACTAGATCGCTACTTTATTGCCGGTGATACTGGGCTGCTGGAAAACTTATACATTTGGGAGTCGCTGGTGCACGTAGGGAAGTAGTGTAGTGCTTGTATGTGATTCGTGGACACACGTGGTTGTGTAAACAATATACATGTACGTAAGCATGTGTCAATATTCTAAGTCCAGGGATATTTGTCGCAGTGTTGTATATAAATAGCGGATGCCGTATCAGTGGCGTAAACCTAATATATATATAAATTGTGTAAGTCAATTTTAGAGACATACAGCTCAGAATTGTGGCCAGTGGAACTCCTATTGGTACTCAGGTTTAAAGCACAAAAGCAGTAAATGACATTGGCTCGTTTGTTCTTTATTCTGAGTCGTATCTCTCATCAATAACCTCCGGTATAGTCATGTACCTTGTACATACACTCGCTATCTGTATGCACCTTAGGTCGAATTATTTTCGTCCCAACACTCTTGTAAGCAATACAACCCAGAAGACTTTCTCGTTGCGGATATCAATAAATATAGTCCTACGTTCTTGTAACAGGTGCTCATTCAAAACAACGTGAAGAAGATCCTGCCAGAGTGGATGCGATTTGTCAAGGGTGTAGTGGACAGCGCGGATATCCCTCTCAATCTCAGTCGTGAGCTGTTGCAGGACTCTACGCTCATCGCCCGTATGCGTGACTTGTTCGGTGACAAGATCGTCCGGTAAGCACCCCGAGTGTGGATTCATCTACGTGTGTATCTTCGCGGGCATGTATCGTCGCTTTATATAATATGCATGTATATATATATATATATATATACCGTGCGCATTCATACAGGTTTTGTCCTCTATATATGTTGTTTATGGTTGTTTTACATCGTTGCGTCAATGGGTTCGGGCATGGCTGCACGTTGTTAAATTTACTTTGGACACGTGACACCGATGCAACGGGTGGCAACTCAGGAAGGCATGGTATTTGGTGTCTATTGCATTTGCTCTTGTGTCAGACTTTTGGTTTTCGGACCGACAAACTAATATCTGTATATTCCCACAATATCGTAAATCTTTTCTCACCATGTGTCCAAGAGTAAGACCCATATATATATATATGCGTGTGTGTGTGTATGTATATGTAAGTTTTAGAACTGAGCCCGGTCTATTAATTGCCGTTCGTTCATACGCTGTTCGCCATGTATGCCAATCTACATGCCTTTGTGGTGTTCTTAACACTGCCCTGCTTGCATACAACCATTCAGAGAAATTGCAAAGCAGGCCAAGAAGGACCCCGCCAAGTACAGCAAGTGGTACAAAGACTTTGGCAGTTTCGTTCGTGAAGGTATTGTGACCGAGCCCGGAAACCGCGAGCGCATCGCAACTCTCGTGAGATACGAGTCCAGCAAGAAGAACGCCGGTGAGCTGGTCGGCATGCAGGTAGGATATGTCCACACAGATGGGAGTTGTATGTGTGTGTAGATCGGCATAGCCGTATACATACGTGTTGTTACAGCACGAATTTGTCGGCATGCAGGTAGGATATGTCCACACAGATGGGAGTTGTATGTGTATTGTTGACGTGTGCGTATCTCTCCTAAACAACCACTACACCTCAACTGCACGAATACAGGACTACGTAGATCGAGCCTTGCCCGATCAAGACATGATCTACTTCATCACCGCTCCCTCGCGTGCTGTTGCCGATGAATCACCTTATATGGAGGCCTTCCGCGAGAAGGACATCGAAGTTCTGTACATGTACGAGGAGTTGGATGAGATCGTCATGCAGCACCTGGGAGAGTTCGGCAAGAAACGTGTTGTCCACATCTCCAGTTCGGAAGCCAACCTGCACAAGGACACCCCGGAGTCGACCGATGAGAAACACTTGGACCTTGCTAAGTGGATGGCCGAGTCTCTGGGCAAGGATGTAAGTGTGCGTGTCCATACGTGCTAGAGCTTCGCGTCCACGTTTATCTGTGTATGCATATGAACGCTAGGATACTACACGTTAGTTGGTTTACATTCCTCCTGAATGTAGTCATATTCCTGATTCCAAGCGGCCTAGTACCAAGCACCACGGGGTCAGTAGTTGTCGGTCTCCGTAGATGTGGTTATTTACTAGGCCAATGTGCTCTATATTAACTTAAGCGATGGCATTGCAAGGCAGCGAGGTGAATCTGCGTTTGCCGGGCAAGCTTCTATTGCTTTATACTCGCATCTAGGATGCATTCCTTAGAGCGTTTGGCTCAAGATATATGTATCTACAGTTATCTGTATGCTGTGTATAGGGTGTGCAGATGCTTTCGATTGCTTGAAGTGCAAGGGCGCTGAATTGATAGCTGGTATTCTAGGGAAGCACTGTTCGGTTCCAAACAGCATATAGATATACTGTCAAATAACTGTCAACAAGCACGCGTCGCACTGTGGTTAGTGTGCTTGTACGCATCGACTGTGTACACACATACGCAAGCGAATACATCCACATGCTAAACGTCTGCGCTTGTTCTGTGTTCTGACTGGCTCCTATCAACAGGTCGTCAAGGATGTGAAGATCAGCACCCGCCTCACAAAGGCGCCTGTAGGTATAGTCGACCCCACAAGCGTGGGTATGCGTCGCATGCTGCAGATGATCGACTCGGACCGTGCTTCCAAGATCCCCCCTCAAGTATGTTCGCTGGCCTGATGTGTAGTTGTCTGCATATACAACGCATGTATATGCTTGTTAGTGCTTCTGCAGCTCTGTCTATACACCCCTGTCTACCCCGACACTCATCTGTCTATACACCCCTGTCTACCCCAGACCCTGGAGATCAACCCTTCGCATCCCATCCTCACCAAGCTGAACTCCGTACGCGCCGACCAGCCCGACGTGGCGCAGCGCGTGACCCGTCAGCTGCTGGAGAACGCGCTGATTTCCGCGGGGCTGTGTGAAGACCCGCGCACGATGCTGGAGCGTATCAACCTGTTGCTGGAAGATGCCCTGACCAGGGGTGACAAATGAGCTGGTTAGGAGGTTAGAGGGTTTGCTAGGGCGGACGAGGGAGATAGTGAGAGGCTTGTTGCTAGGTGCTAGCGTAGGTTTGCTTGGCGTCTGCGCGCGTATAAGAGCTTGAGAACGGTCTATAGTCACTGTACATGTACAGCATATACTAGCAGCATGCACTATGCTATGTCAAGGATTGGGATAGCAATGATGGTTCGGTAGGCGGTATATCCGTGCGGGTTCGTGAGACCTAAACGGCAGAATCGAAGTATATTCTGCTGCGATGCGGAGAGTTTCTATCGGTCTAAGGTGGGATAACTCGTCAAGAGCATATTAAATAAAGTGTATATAAAGTAACCTGTGAAGTACATAGTGTGCAGACAAATGGACTGAGCTATTAGTATGTGGATTTGGCGTATCCCACGTGCAAGTACAAATTATTAAATAGGAATACACATACCTACACGTATCAACCAAGGAATATGAGAAGTACATACATAAGGGTTTTTTTAGTACTATGATTGTATAGCCCTTTCGGGCGGCGTCACCGACTGCAGCTAACTACAGATACGGACAGAGATACATACGTGTTGATAAGCCTAGATACATAATATTGCACCCTGGATTGGTATCGAAGCGAATTGGATTGAACACGCGCTTGATTACGCAGGCACGGATGACTCGATTGCAACTTAGTTTCGTGTCCTTATTCTGAACTGCTGAAGCTTTCGTAAAGTTTTGCTTAGGATTACAAGCGGGTTTTAACTCAATTTCCAAGTATGCGTTTGGCTCGTATTTTCGCCATGCTGCTTTTAAGTGTGTCACATTCGATGCCCTGGTAGTTGCTGCTATTCTTTGTTATATGGAATCCTCGCTCGCATAGGCTCTATCCAAATACGATCATCTGGAGTGTTTAAACATAGGCAACATCCGCTACGATGATAACCTGGGGTGTTCGAAATTAGGCATCCACCGCTACGATAGACTTGAACCGCACATAAAGTGTTGATATAGTGTATAATACTCGCGATTCTAAGTATCTGAGTGGAATAGATAGCCTTTTCGATAGCTTTTTATTTCAATTATGGCTATGTGTGTAAGGTATACTGCTCGAGATTCAAAGTAAGTGGAAAGCTTGCTCACGATACACTGAAGACCACTACTTACAAAGAATTGTAAAAGAGCTATGCATACTTCTTTACCACGGCAAGGGCGTTTAATGCGTGAAGGTGCAGACCCATAGGATATATTGTACGTGCATATGCACAGGTGTATTTCGACATAGAGACAGACCAGACACCCTACGGAAGTATTTTTTTTTAACAAAATACGATATGTAATAAGTGGACCAGTTTCGTATTTGTATGACAACTGATAATAGTGATAACAATTTCATCGTAGATATCTATATTATAAACTAAATAAATGTGGTTGGGGGGGTTAAAACGGTGCAATCACCATTCCACAGGCGCAGTTTACGGTAGTAGCCGAGGACATGCACACGGAGTTGTTGGAGGAAGCCTGGTACACAACTCATATGCACGATGGAAGAGCCTGTGGTGTCTGACATTATGCTTGTCAAGGGCGTCAAGTGCCCTAAGGGATATATGCTTGTAAGTAGAATGGGCATGTCGACTATAAGAATTGTAAATGGCGTTTACTGTTGTTTATTGTTGATGCGTTGAGTTTACTATTGTTGATGCGATGTGCGAGATGCATCGCTGCAGTGTGTCTTTAGTACGGCCCCCTAAACATCTATGGAATGTGTGTCTGAGCGTCTCAGGAGGTTTCACTGGTGACTGGTGTACACGTCTACTTGATTGAGCTGCCGTAGTTAGTTATTTCAGCTAAATACTGAATGGGTCTCGAACTCACATATTCGCATCCGCATAGTCACTTTGATAGATTAAATGATTCTTCGCGTAAATGATACAAGTCCACTTGGTGGATCGTTGTATAAGTAAAAGCACCGTTGCTTCCTCAACCCTCGGCCGCCCAAGCCTTAGTCGTGCACTATATCTATGTGAAGCAGTTGGTGTTGATTTTGTAGAGCTCAAGACCCGGTACAACATGGCAGTGTTAGCGAGTACGCGCATGTACGCATGCCTTCCCGCTTTCACAGCCGCATAAATAATGTGCATATATTTGTATATATATATTAAATATATATGTGTAAACGTATGCGTGTTGAGTGTGTGTGTCAGTGTTTGTGTGTGCGTATGAGTTTATATA